CCCTCCCGCCCTGCAGGAAGTCGCGGAAGGGCGGGGGCACCCTCTCTCGGCCACGTCGCTCCAGGCCCGCGCGGGCGACCCCTGGGGCGCAGGAGGGAGAGGGCTGATCCCAGCCCGCGCCCCCGCCAGGTGGGTGGTTTTGTTTTGATTTCCCTGCGGACGTCTTGGCTGGACTCCAGAGCCGTGGGTCCGTAACACCTCTGATCCCGGGCGACGGCCGGCTTGTAAGATCGGGAGCCGGCTTGTAAGATCGGGAGCCGGCTCGCTCCGTCGTGGGGGGCTGGTGAGGTGGTCCAGCTGTCGGGAGAGGTGTGTCGTGAAAAAGTGGGCGCTGGAGGCATCACAGGGGTTCGCCAATGTAGCCCCTCCTGGTGTGTCGTTTTACCTCTTTGCTTTTGTGTTGCACTGAAGCTGAATGGAAGCTGAGTCTGCGTTGTTTTAACTGAGCCTGTTGATCTGTCCAGATCTCCTCAAGATGACGACGTAACAGGGTTGAAATATCCCCCTCTCTGGAGCTGGCTTATATGTAGGTGCCCTGCAGCCTGGAATGGATTAAACTGTTGTCCTGCGGGAATCTGATATATTCCCCTCGGGATCTACCAGCTCTTGGCAGCAGGGGTGTGGTATAGGAAGTTGCATCATTCAGATGGTCATTACAGATCCCAGGGCACCATTCATATTCCTGATGTCCTGGCTGAACTCTGCTCTGGTCTTGAACTCTGTCCACCTAATGTTCCTCCTTAATCCACCTGGTGCAGCAGTTCTTCCCTCCTCCTCCTGGACTCCTAGTACAGAATGGCTGCTGTGTGTCTCCCAGGTGGGGCTGAAGTTCACTGGAAGAGTGAATCCTGCCCTCAGTGTAAAACACTTTGGGTTCCCTTGATGTGAAAATAGCTATATAAATACAAATTGTTGTCATTCTTATTGGAGTTACTATTGAATTTTAACTTCTTATCTCGTACTGTGCAGATTTTGTCTTAATGTGACATCTCCGTGCGCTAGACTGAGGTTCTTCACAATACCTTGTCAGGAATTGTGCTGAAGCTGAAGTTCTGGGTGAGCAACACAATTTCTTTACAATATTCCTCCCTTTAAACGCTGGTGTATCCGACAGTATGGATGAGCTCGCCCTTGCAGTAGGCATCAGAGTTGGAGGAAACACCCCTGAAGTATCGGCTGCAGGAAGAAGGTTTCCTTGCAGAATATTCCAGATTTCTTTGACGGGGTGTTAATTTCATGCGGTGGGGGAGAGCAGGATTTTCTCTGTGGTGCTGCGCGTCGGCTTCCCATGCAGGTTCAGGAGTCCAGGACGAGAGGGAATCTTTGTTTACTGTATTCGAGTGG